AGGAAAGAAAAATTATTCAGAAGAAATCTTCCTAGTAAATATTGTCTACTAATTAGAATTCAGCAGAGCCAGTATCTAATCTAACATGCAAGTCATCTGGTACATATGAATATTTAGCACATATAGAATTCAAAATACCAGCAAGTTAGAATCAGACATCTAAGGAATTTTTACACACTTAATAGTAGCCAATGTATAAATTAAGACATGTTACATTGATTTTTTTAAAGAAACTGGGCCATGACTTTCTAAAACTATGTTCCTTACGGGAAAATGTCACCAGAGCCTGAGAGGAAAAGTATGCCATCAGGGTGGCTCTAGTTTCCCATCTCTCACATTCCAAGGGAAAGTTCATCCTTAAAGGTATTTCATAATGTTCTCAGGGTTAATGAAATGAAACTATTTGCCTGGTGGAACTCAGATGTGTGTGATTTCATATTTGTAGATTTCTCTCCCAGGATGGACTTAATTCATCCTGAGTAACACAGAGACACAATATAATTTGTGGACTTCCAGGACCAGCTTATCTTTAGAACTATATGCCCTAGGGGCTGGGGATTTAGCTCAGTGGCAAAAGTGCCTGCCTGGCAAGCGCAAGGTCATGAGTTCGGTTCCTGGTACCAGAGAAAAACCGAAATAAACAAAACAAAAAGAAAAAAAAAAAGAACTATATGCCCCAAAGAAGCCAGTTAGCCACTGTCTTAGTCACTTTCTTTGGCGCTAAGACAACATCCGACGTAACTTAAAGGAGGAGAGGTTTACTTTGGCTCACATGTTAGAAGTTCTGGCCCCTACATGGTTGGCGGCAGGGTGCCAGGGCCTGGCAAAGAGAAGCTGCTCATGTCAGGGCACCCAGGAAGCAGAGAGTAAAGGGGGGTAGGAAGGAGAGACACCCCAGGCCACGCCCCCCAGAGAGCTGCCTCTTCCAATCAGGTCCCACCTCCTAACAGCACACTGATTCCCATAAACCAATCGTCTCCCCAAAGCCCTGCCTGTGATCCCTGAGGCTTTGGGGGAGCGGGGGGTCCATCGAGATATAAACCATCGCAGCCACATGAACTATTCTATTAGTAGTTAACGCAGGACAGAATGTAGGCAGACATGCACTCAGGCAAGCACAGACTAAACTGATCACAAAGTTCCCAAGCAACATATAAAGATGACTCTGGAGGGGCCAGGGATTTAGCTCAGTGGCACTGCACCTGTCTAGCAAGCATGACGTCCTGAGTTCGATTGCTGGTACCCACCCCACAAAAAAAGACTCTGGAAAAAGTATACCAGTCGTTGATAAATATGAGGGATAGGGCTGGGGATGCAGCTCAGTGGCACAGCACTTGCCTATCATGTGTGCGGTCCTGGGTTCCATCCCCAACACCACAGGGGAAAAAAATACACTAGGGAAAATAGAACAGGCACATTCCTGCCTTCTAAAAGCTTCCCACCTAGTGGAGAAGACACCAAACACCACACAAATAAAAACAAGCACTATGATAAATGCGACAAAGGAACAGCAGAGGCACCGTTAAGGTTTATATCCAAATGTCCCCGACAGCCTCACACACTCAGAGGCAGGTGTTTTGGGTGGGGTCTGCGGCTGCCTTGCTGTTGCAAAGTCCTTAGGGGTGGCTGAAGGCTGCGCTCCCTCCCTGCTCCTCCCTTCTCTCCACTTCCTGCCCTCCAGACTTGAGCAGCTCTTCCTCTGCTCTGCCCTGCTGCCAGGCCATTTTCTGCCACAGAGCCTCCCCACCTGAGCCCTAACCCTGAGCCAAATAAACCTCTCTGCCTTTCGGTGTGGGGGATGAGTACTGTGTCTCAGCAACAGGACAGTGACAGCGACAGGTGCAACAGAAACAAATAGCACAGCATGAGCTGGCAGGATGACTGGGGTGGAAGCAGGCTCCCCAGGGAAGGAGGCACAGCTGAGAAAAGAGGCTCTTTCCACAGCAATCATCCTGCCTGGCAATGCGGAGGGAACAGCAGACAGAACAGCACACACGCAAGCTCTGAGGTGGGAAGGAGCACTGCATGCGCTGAGGAAACCAAGAGTGTGCGAGGCCAGGGAAGAGTGGGCGAGGTGAACCTGAAAAGGGCATTTGGGGGCCTAAAACATGTTGTCATCAGTAGCCACGCGTTGCAGTATGTGCGGAGGGCTGTGTCCATGCCGTCGAGGGTCCTGGACACTGGGGGGACATACTCACTTGTAGAGCAGGCTGGGGGCGCTCACCGTGGACCGGAAGCCCTGCGGGGTCTGCTCCACGGCGTAGGCATCACAGGGTTCGTCGGCACCCTCCATGGAGTCTATGCAGAAACAGACCACAGCGCCTCAGAAAGTGCTGCTGCGGGGATGCACCCACGCCCCACACGGGCGGCCGCCACAGACCGCGGCTCCACTCTGCCCACCCACCAATCCCCAGCGCCACGGAAAAGAAAAAGTTAGCAACAATAATGATAATAATGCCTATCTCAAATCTTTCCCACTTGGAACTTTGGGAAAGCAGGATATACATTTTAGTATTTAACTTTTTCCTTAGAAAGCTAAGAAACAGTAAAAAAATTTTTATTTTTGCAAACCTCAAATTTTTGCACCTGAATTTTTGTACCTCAAGGGGCCAGGGATGTAGCTCAGCGACGCAGCGCCTGCCTGGCAAGCGCAAGGTCATGAGTT